TGAGGCAGGAGAATTGCCTGAACCCAGGAGGCGGAGGTTGCGGTGAGCCGAGATCGCGCCATTGCACTCCAGCCTGGGTAACAAGAGCGAAACTCCGTCTCAAAAAAAATAATAAAATAAAAAAAAATAAAAGATATATTAGACTTTAAGAACTTCTCCTTTTTGAAAGACACAGTTAAGAGAATGAAAATATAAGCCCCAGCTTGTTAGACGACGGGGCAATAGGAGGAGCAAGAGCATCAGGATGGTGCTAATGGACGCTGGGCTTAATACGTAGGTGGTGGGATGATCTATGCAGCAAATCACCATGGCAACACGTTTACCTAGGTATCAAATCTGCATGTCTGGCCCAAGTACCGCTGAACTTAAAATAAAAGTTGAAGAAAAAAAAAAGAAAATATAAGCCCCTGACTGGAAGAAAGTGTTTGCAAATTACATAACTGATAAAGAACTTGTATGTAGATTATACATAGAACACTCAAAAAGTAATGATAAAATACAAACCAACCAATTTAAAAATGAATAAAATATTTGAACCGACAATTTGCCAAAGAAGATATATAGATAGCAAGTAAACATATTGAATTATGCTCAACATCATTAGTCATTGGGGAAATGCCTATTAAAACCTCAGAGAGAGACCACTACACATCTATTAGAATGGCTAAAATGACCTATACCAGTTGTTGGTGAAGATGTAAAGGAATGGGCACACTCACACACTCATGGCAGCGACATAAAGGGATACAACCATTTTGGAAAAGAATTTGGCAGTTTCTTAAGAGGTTCTGCATACGCTTACCATATGACCCAGCCATTCCACACCAAAGTATTTACCCAAGAAGAAAAAAAAGCATATGTCCATACAAAGATTTGTACATGAATGTTCATAACACTTTTATTTGTAAAAGCCATAAGCTGGAAACAATCCAAATGCCCATCAGCAGATGAATGAAGAAGCCAGTATTGATTATCCATATAATGGAAGACTACTCAACAATAATAAAAAGGAAAGAACTATTGGTACCCACAACGACGTAGATGAATCTGAACACAATGACGCTGAGTGACAGAAGCCAGACATAAAGGAGTGTATATTGTATGATTCCTTTGCCATGACAATAATATTGGAAATTATTTCTATTTTCTGATAGTATAAAGTAGTCCTCCCTTATCCTTTGTTTGGCGTTCCATGCTTTCAGTTACCACAGTCAACTCTGGTCCAAAAATATTAAATGAGAAATTCCAGAAATAAACAATTCATAACTTTCAAATTTCACTCTGAGTAGCCTGATGAAATCTCATGCTGTCCACTCCCTTCCACCTGAGACATGAGTCCTCACACCTGGGATGTGCTCCCACCTGGGACGTGCTTCCATGTGGGACATGAATTATCCCTTTGTCTGGTGTACTCACCCCGTTTATGCTTCTAGCCCTTAGTCACTTAGCAGCCTTCTTACTTATCACATTGACTCTAATACTGCTTCCCTTATTTCATTTAATGGCCCCAAATCTCCAGAGTAGTGATGCTGGCAGTTCAGATATGCCAAAGAAAAGCCTTTATTTAAGTGAAACAGTGAACGTATTGAAAAAAACATAGTAGCTATAGGGTTTGGTACTACCCATGGTTTCGGGCATCTGGTTTCAGACATCTACTTAATCTACTTAGGGTGTTGCAACATATCCCGGTTAAAGGGGGACTGCTGTAAACATCTGTGAATTTTCATAATCTGACCAGGAGTGGATTACAGTATTTTCCTCTTCTTCCTCTTACATGGAAATAATAAAACTGCTCATTTTCTCAAACAAAAGAGTTTAAGTCTTGTGACTTTTATTTTGGATGTAGGGGGTGGGGCGGGGGGAAATTCATGTGATTCTCCTGCCTCAGGCTCTGAGTAGCTGGAATTACAGTCATGTGCCATCACACCCAGATATTTTTTGTATTTTTTGTAGAGATGGGGTTTCACCATGTTGGCCAGGCTGGTCTTGAACTCCTGATCTCAAGTGATCCGCCCGCCTCAAGTGATCTGCCCACCGCAGCCTCCCAAAGTGCTGGAATTACATGCTTAAGCCACCGCGCCCAACCTTTTGTGATATTTAAATGAACGCTTCTGATACAGGATGTTGTTACGCTGAACTGCTTCTCTGTTTATCCTGCCACAGGAACTCTCATCTCCCATCAGGCAGATTAAGAATCAGTTTCTTTTTCCCCAGAAAGGCAGGCACAGTCTCCACCCCGTTCTCACAGGGCAAGGCTAAACAAACTTTAGCACTGCCCTCATCTTCTCCCTGAGGCTTGGCTCTGAAACACCGCCCCACCAACCCCTATTGGTAGGGGATGGGGAGGAACTATTGAAAAGTTCCCCCCATTCTCCCACAAGCAACCCCTCCTGCCTGCACTAGTGCTAAAGGATGCCCTTCTGGTGCAACCGAGCCCCTTGAGATTTCAGCACCCCAACATTTTAGTGATGAAACCATGAAAATTCTGATGAGGACTTTCCTGGTTTGCATATGTTAAATATCCGTTTTTGCCCAATATTCCTTGTTCTGGCAATGTAATTATAAACTCTTTCTTTGTCAAGCAGGAGGATATAGCCTCAGAGTCATGAAAAAATTTTGCAGAAGGAACGAATGCCTCTAAGACCATAGTGACCAGCTGCTGACGCCCACAAGTCTGGTGGTTCAAGGTGTCATCTGAGATGAAGCGACACAGACTTTCCCCCAGGTTCCCTGAAACTCTCCCTACCTTACTTCCTAATCTCATAAAAACTCTGCTACTTATTTTTGTAAGGGTGGATTTGAGAGATCCTGCCCTCTTGCCTTCTCGCTTTGGCCAAATGGAGTAAACTTTCCCCTGTCTCCAAGCACCTGTGTGTCAGTGTTTGGCATCAACAGCACATCGGATTCGTGAGCCTGAATCTGGGCTTCTACGACTCTGGTTCCTGGGACTCGGGCAAAAGGGAAAGCGAATCACACCACAGTCTCAGCCACTACGGACAGAACCCACAGGGGCTGTTAGCCGCTGCATGGGGGATACAGGGCTTCGTGGGCCACCCTAGGAGCCTGCCCCTGTTGTTACAGTTTGAAGACTGACATTCCAAGACAGGGGCTTCTAGGCAAGCCTCTGGGACGCAGCCTCTTGTAATAGACTGGACATTTGCCCTATTTATCCCCAGGCCACAACGCATTTAGCTTCACCCTCGGGAGCCTAAGTCCCCGATTTCGTCGTTTTCCCTCAAGTCTTTCGTGCTCCTGAACCGTGGGAAATGTTGCCAGGCTTGGTTTGAGAAGATTTAGGCTGTGCTGGCCGGCGCCTCTCCCTCCTCCCCAGCTCGCCCCGCGTTCCGAGCCCCCCAGCTCCCTGCCCTCCGCCGCTAGCGTCGTTAGAGGTGCTCCTGAGTCAACAAACTAAGTCTCCCCAGCGGAAAAGGGGCTCTCCCGGCAGCGTCCAGACCTGGGGAGCTGCAGTCGCCACAGCCCCATAGGAGAACCCGCGCAGACCTGGGGAGGTTTGGGGAAGACCTGCGCAAAGAAGCGCGGGGGACTCATTACCCGCCGGGGTTCTCCTCTGCAGCGCGTCTCCCTCCAGGAGCAGGAAACGGAGCCTCCCAAGTCCAGAGCAGAGAACTTGACACCGCAGGTCCGGGGCTTATATCAGCTGAGCTCCATGACACCTCCCGGGGCGGGGTTTCGCGCAGGAGACAGAGGGACAGCCCAATCTCATCGTTGTGTGGAGCGCAAAGCCCCTCCTGCAAAGGCAACAGGCTTGGTCAACTTTGGGTGGACTAGGGAGGACTGAGGAGGAGAAGCGCTTCTTTGTTGCTTCTCTGTTTTCAATTTTTTTTTTTTTTTTCAGATATTCAGTTCTGATTTCACCAAGGGAAGGAGACCTAGGTGTCCACCCCCAGGTCCTACAGAACCTCCCCCTGCCCCGCTCAGAGTCTTCCTGGGACCCTCAGGCTCGCAGAGCCCTCCGCAGGTTTCTCCCCCGACGCCTCCAAATCCTTCGATTCCTACTGGAATTACCCCGTCAGCTGCTCCAGCCCTGTGCTGGAAGAGGGGCAAGGGGTATGGTGAGACGTGTTGGTAGAGGGGGCACTGGGACGAAGGGGAAAGCAGAAAATTAAGCCTCTGTTTTCACCTTCCCGTACCCCGCTCCCCCCGCCCCCACCGCCCCCGTAATTCCAGAATGTTGCTTCCGCCTCCTTTCTTTTGCTGCCAGGCGTAGGTGTGGCCACTGGGACGAAACCTGGCAGAAAATTAAGCCTCTGTTTTCGCCTTCCCCTACCCTCTCCGAGTAGGGGTTCCACAGCGCAGGGAGACAAGGATGGTGGCCAGTTACCAGAAAATCAAGGCAGATGGAAGTGTCTGGGAAACACCATCTATGGTCATCTGTGGAGTCTGGGGTCATGGGGTAACTTTTTGATTTTTCAATGTATTGTCAAATAGGTAAAGTATGTGGAAAGTACAAAATGATAGTAAATTGAACACCCGTGTATTCACCAGACAGCTTAAGCAATAACATTAGCAATATTTGTGTACCCAGCTGATCTCATTCCCTCATTCCACTTGTCCCCTACTCTCCTGATAACCAGTACAGTTTTATGAATTTGAAATTACTAATTTCCATGCAACTGTTTATACTTTTATTATATGTGTATTTGTCCCTCATCAATACATGATACTCTTTCAATACATTTATATGCATTTAAGCTGCATGTAAATGGCATCATGTTGGCCAGGTACGGTCACTCATATCTATAATTCCAGCACTTTGGGAGGCTGAGAAAAAGGATGGCTTGAGGCCCAGAATTTGCGACCAGCCTCGGCAAAATAGCAAGATCCTATCTCTACAAAAAATTTGTTTGTTTGGTTTGAGACCAAGTCTTGCTCTGTCACCCAGGCTGCAGTGCAATGGCATGATCTTGACTTGCTGCAACTTCTGCCTCCTGGGTTCAAGCGATTCTCCTGCCTCAGCCTCCCGAGTAACTGGGACTACAGGTACACACCACCACACCTGGCGATTTTTGTATTTTTAGTAGAGATGGGTTACACCATATTGGCCAAGATGGTCTCAAACTTCTGACCTCGTGATCCGCCCGCCTCAGCCTCCCAAAGAGCTGGGATTACAGATGTGAGCCACCACACCCAGCCAAAGCATTTGTTTAAAGTTAGCTGGGTGTGGTGGCACATGCCTGTAAAGTCCCAGCTACTAAGGAGACTGAAGCGGGAAGATGGCTTAAGCCCAGGAGTTGAAGGATGCTGTGAGCTATGGTTGTGCCACTGCACACCTGCACTGGCAATAGAGTGAGACCCTGTCTCTTAAAAAAGAAAAAAGAAAAGTATCATATTGCATGTGTTCTGTAGAACTTGCTCCCACACATTTTGCTTTAAAGATTTGTGCGTGTATTTAGATCATTCCTTTTCACTGCTGCATGAGCTGGATTCTTTCTGTTCTTCTTTCCATCCATACCCATTGGTCTCCAAAGTATCCACGCCTCACCAAAAGTTCCTGCAGGAAACCTCAGCTCCACTGGCTTCCAGGTCATAATCGGTCCAGCACTACTTCTGAATTTCTGGCTCCAGCCCTCCTCTGCCATGTTCTTAAGTTTCTAGAGGGTCAAGGTCATGAGAAAGGAAAAATGCCAAGTGCCTTTGGTAAAATATTGCTCTTCTAGCTGTTTGCATGTTTGTTTGTGTGGAATGGGAGGAAAGTGAAGGCAGATGTGACTTATTCTGAGTATTAATTCAAGTTTAAAAGTAAAATCTTTAGGTTTGCCTTGTCCAGTAAAAAATGCCAAGAGCCATAACTGCCCATTCTCTCTCTTCTTTCTCCCTCTCTGTCTGTCTTGTCTGTCACACACACACACACACACACACACACACACACACACACGGTTAATGTAATGTTTACATTGTTTTTGCTTCAACAAACTAAATAGGAGAAGAGAGGTGGTAGGTTAAAGGTTACCTTATTAGGGGCACACAGTCGCTCACAGAAAGAATCACTATAGTAGCATAAGGAAAATCACTGTCTAGGCCAGCCCTGTGTCAGTGACCTCTGTCACTGCCCCCAGTCTGCACAGTGAGGCTGGAGGCTGCATGCTGTGGTCTGCAGATCCCTCACTACAGAAAACCCGCTTCAGCATTCTCCACGAGAGTCACAGGGAGATTGATTACGGGGCTCAACGCTCAATGGCATTGTGGCTGGCCAAGTTTGTTTTTTTTGTTTTTTTTTTTTTTTTTTACAAAAACTTGTACTAGGGAACTGAGAATTGTAGCAGTGAGACATCTTAGCGTAGAGCCTTATGTGTGTTTCCACAGACTTTCTTTCAAATCCAAGCCACTTGTTTATAATAATATTCACTTTTCAGGGAAAAATATATTTTCCACTTGTTTTCACTTTTCTTGGTAAAAAGTTTAAAAAATAAAGTTTGCATAAACATGTTTATGCTGTTTCTTATGAACAATGTTTGCATTTGACACGGGGAAATTTTGACAGAACAAGTTTACTTGCAGGAGGGATGAGATATCCTTTATCAGTGTTTATATGAATCCCACACAGAGAATGGGAGGGAAAATCTTGGTTCTCTGACACTCCCAGTACCCACACTGAGATCCAAGAATGTCCTGATGATTTTCCTATCTCTAAGTAACTCAGCTTTTCCTGAAGGAGCTCAGTTAAGTCCAAACTTAATTTCTGTCAAGTCCAATGTTTAATTTGCTTTTTCCAGTATAGGAAATGAAAGTATGACTCAGAATTTTATTTTCTCTCTGTATCCCATCAGATCTTTAGCACACTGAGGGTAATGACAGAGTCTCAAAGTATATCCCCACAAAGGAAAAAACACTAATTTTCCAGAGATTCCTGGAATATATCACCTTAACCAAGTGATCCAAGTTAATATCATTAGCAACAGGAAAAATTAAATTGCATGCCACTAAAAAGAACAGTTTTTATTTCTTATGTATTCCTGACCCAATAAAACAAAACCAAACAGCACAATGAGAATGTAACTATAAGGAAACATTAGAGGGTTCAATGGTGCACACCTGTAGTCCCAGCTGCTTGGGAGGTTGAGGCAGGAGAATTGCTTAAGGCCAGGAGTTCAAGACCAGCCTGGGCAATATAGCAAGACCCTGTTTCAAAGGAAAAAGAAAAGAAAACATTAAACAAACCCAAACCCAAATTGAAAGACTGTTCTAGGTTGAAGAACACTAAAAAGACAAGACAAAGGCACCATGTAATCCTAGGCTGGAGCTTGGACTAGAAAACATTTCTTTTTGCTATAAAGGACACTGGTAATCATGAGAATGTACTTCACAGACAGCAACTTGGAGCTTAATTCCCAAAGGACCCCAGCTGCCTCATTCTGAAATCCACTGCACATTTGTGTGAAGGCTTCCATGGGCTGCTCCCAGCTGATGACTGAGTATATAAGGACAGGAGGGCAGGTCTTTTCCTGGGAGACACAGGATGCCTATAATGGCCAACTTTCACTTGACTTTGAGTGAGTATCTGGCATACTTCCACCCAACCTCTCTTCCCACTTGCCTCCACGTAGGATCAGACTTGCATCATTGTCTTTCATTGACTCCCAACTCTCAACAAAATGGAAATGCCAAATTCCCCTGACATATGGTAGAGGAAGAAATAAAGAGTTTGAGGAAAATGAGCATGAAGGAATGGATATTTTAGGGAAGACCAGAAGACCTGCTAGACGATTTTGTTCCATGATATGTCCCAGATTACACACCACTCACCAAGACTACCAAAAAGCACTGGTAGGAGGGGCACCAGCATCAAAGAAGTCCAGTGACGGCTGTCTGCTGTGTGCCAGGGAGGATGGTGGGTGAGGCAGTCTCAGAGCTGAGCTCATTAATACCCATGGAAATGCATAATGGGGGCCCTCAAATAATAGAAGCCAGGAGAACACAATTACCACAGTGCCTGGCATGGTTAGACAGACAGCCACCAGGACTAGAGCCACACGAAGTTGTGGAGATGGTTAATGGCGAATGATGTCCTTAGAGGCAAAATAGGCAGCCAACAAGAATGTTACTTAACATCGATAGCCCACAAAGAGCAAGAATAAAGGAGCAGGAAGCTGTGGATAATCGCTCCCAACAAAAGCCACAACTTCTTGTTTAATTTTCAAGCCCAAGCCAATTTGCAGATCTAGAACCCACTGGCTGAAGTGATGGATCCCCAGGAGGAAGAAACTTGCAATGCCATGGCAAGTATATACCATGGGCATTTACTCATGTAATTATATGGTGGGGGAAAGGAGATAACCAGACATTTCAAGGACTATTGAATATGGGATCTGAGTTAACACTGATAACCAGAAACCCAAAATATCATCATAGTCCCTGTTACAATGGGACAAGGTGATTAATGGAGTCCTGTCTGAAATCTGACTCACAGTGGTCCATCTGATCTGCGGATGATTTCCCAAGCAGCCAAGTGCATAGTTGGAATAACCCCCATATTAGGCCTTGCTCTGTAAAGTGTAACTATTATAGTGGGGAAGGCCAAAAGGAAACTTCTGAAGCTGCCCGCAACTCAGCCAAGATGATAAATCAAAATCAGTTTCATATTTTAAGAAGTTCATGCCACCATTAAAGAACTAAAGGATGCAGGGAAAGTAGTTTCCACGATATTTTCATTTTATTTGCTAGCCTGGCCCCTGAAGAAATTGGCAAGATCCTGAAGAGTGACTGTAGACTACCACAGGCTTAACCAAGGAGTAGCCCTCATCCCGACTGCTTTTTGGTATTATCTAGATCAACGTTAGTAAGCCTTCAGGTGAAAAGTATGTGAGCACTGATTTGGCAAATGCGTTCTCTTCCATTCCAATCAGAAAGGGGATCAGAAATAGCTCACATTCATGTGGAACGGACAAAAATATTCAGTTACATTTGGCTCCAGGGTTATTTTAACTTTTGCTCTCAGTCATAATATAGTACAAAGAAATCTTCACCATCTGGACAGCCCAGAGAACACCACGTGGACCCATTACGCTGATATCATGCTTCTGAACAGATGAACAAGTGGTGGCTCTGGGGGCCTTGGTAAGACACATGCATTCCAGAGGACTGG